TGTGTTGAATGACTTGATATCATGTGTGAAAGTGTGGTAAATGTGTGTCAATTGATTCCACGTGTGTTTGTGTCCACTATTTTGAGGACAAATACAGTTTGCATTCAAACTAATCACGAATTGTCTGTACTTTTCAAACAAATCCATTATTTTGTGACAACTTTTCAATTCATATAAAAGTCTTGAGTTTTCAGTCATTAACTCTTCCAACACATCATTCACTAATAATTTAGCCATAATTTCAATACAAATGAAACCAAAACTTAATTATGATTTCAATTGTATTTAAATCTCAATTCAATTCAATTTGTGGTCCAAATGTTTGCCAACATATCATATGATCCGTCAAAACAACAAACCATTCATTAATAACGTATACAATAGGAATCCTTTTGCGATCAAACTTTGATTTATTATAACTTTTTAATGATTTAAAATTTAAATATAAATAAATTTACTTTAATTTCACATAATATACACAAAATTAAACATAATTTCACAAAAATAATATCACATTTGAACTACAATTTAATTATTGATAGGAATGAGTCCTTCAGTGGTCTTATATTTGTGGACTTGTCTTAAGTGTTGTCGCGCACAGGGTTTGGATGTGAATGTCTTATCGCAACCCTCGACCGGACAGTCGACCACTCGTAGGCCCTGATGTGAGTTCATGTGGTCCTGGAGTCGGTTATTGGATGGAAAACGTCGATCACATGCGGGCCAACTGCACACAAATGGCAGAGTGTGTTGGCGTTTGTGTTGCTTTAAATGATTGTGAGTGACAAACCCTTTACCACAACCCTCTATATCGCACACATACTGTTTGACTCCCAGATGTGTCTGTTTATGGCGCTTAAGCATTGTTAAGTCCTTATACGTGGCCTCACATGCGGGCCAATCGCAAGTGTACGGCCGGGCAGTCGAGTGCACTGTATTCTTGTGGGCCTCAAGACCCCTCTTGAGATTAAACCGTGAGTCACATTCATCGCACGCGTATTGCCGAAGCTGTAGATGTGATTGCGTGTGATTGGAAAGTGACTGATTGGTACGGAAGGCATAGTCACAGCCGACCCACGAGCACACGAATGGCTTCGCTGTGTCCGTATGTATAATCTGGTGTTTCTTTAGACACCGCTGAGTGGGGAATGTCTTGTGGCAGACGTCACACCCGAATGGCCTCTCCTTTGTATGTTTGACCCGAATGTGTGCCAAAAGGTATTCCCGTTCGCGAAACCGTCGCTCACATCCACTGTAATGACAGACAAGAGATTTTTCTCGAATGTAATTATACTTCTTCTTCGATGTTTGCGGGAAGCGCTTAAAGCCCTCCGTATGAATCTTCTGGTGCGCCCGAAGACATCGTTCCGTGGGATATGTCTTGTGGCAGACGTCACACCCTAACGGCCGCTCCATTGTATGTCTGACCCGAATGTGTGCCAAAAGTTTTTCGTTTTCGGTGAACTGTTTCTCACATCCGATGTAATCGCAGATAAAATTTTTCGGTCGAAAGCACTTCCCATTCGCCAAAACAATTGTCTTCTCTTTATATTTCTTCTTCAGTGCTGTTGTCGTCGAGTTTTCACCACTTTTTTCGCTTTTCTTAACGTATTTTCTCTTTTTCTTCTCATTTTTGTCATCCATTTTTTCATCACTTAAAGTCTGTTCCCAATTGTGGTCAGAATTATCCTCCGATTCATCGCTTATTGTCTTTTGTTTATTATATCTTTTCTTTGTTGTTGTCTTCGCTTTATTGCCATTCAATCTCTTCTTTGATTCACTTTTTGTGTCTTCTGTTTGAATGAGTTGTCGGACACTGTGTTTGTTGTCATCTTTGGAAGTGATGTCTTCGGGCACTGGATGTGCTTCGAGTGATGTGTTGAATGACTTGATATCATGTGTGAAAGTGTGGTAAATGTGTGTCAATTGATTCCACGTGTGTTTGTGTCCACTATT